TGGGCTGAGGGAGGGGTGAGCCCTCGGCCTGGGAGCCTCGGGGGGGTTGGCCTGGTGCCGTCCCGGCCTCTGGCTGGTGTTGTCACTCTGGGGCAGGTGTAACAAGCTGTGCCGTGGAAATGACACAGAGAAGACATTTGACAAAACTCAACACTCCTTCACGATAAAAATTCTCAGCAAACTAGGCATAGACGGGAACTTTCTCAACCGTCTAAAAGGCATCTGCAGCCCTAGCTGGGTTTGCTCGGTGGATAGAGCGTCGGCCTGGGGACTGAAGCATCCCAGGTTCGATTCGGGTCAAGGGCACATGCCTGGGTTGCGGGCTCGATCCCCAGTGGGGTGCGTGCAGGAGGCAGCCGATCAGTGATTCTCTCTCACCATGGATATTTCAATCTCCCCCTCTCTGAAATCAATAAAAACATCTCTAAAAAAACAAAAGGCATCTACAGAGAACATACAGTTGACAACACATTAAATAGTGGAAGACTGGAAGCTTTCCCCCTGATAGTGAGAAGAGGGTGAGGATGTCTGCTCCTCCCCACGCCTATTCAGCATCTTCCCGGAGGGACTAACCCAGCCGTGGGCAAACTGTGGCCCATGGGCCTTGAAATGAAATAAAACTAAAAAAAAAAAAAAAAAGACCGTACCCTTTTATGTAATGATGTTTACTTTGAATTTGTATTAGTTCACACAAACACTCCATCCATGCTTTTGTTCCGGCCCTCCGGTCCAGTTTAAGAACCCATTGTGGCCCTCGAGTCAAAAAGATTGCCCACCCCTGGTCTAGCTTGTGCAGTAAGAAGAAACGAAAGGCACACAGATGGTCTCTCTTTACAGACAACATGGCTGTCACATAGGGAATCTCTCAGAGGATTTATTTCTATTGCCTACCTGGCCGCTCGGGTTGGCGTCAGCACCCTGTCCTAACAGCTACTTCATGCTCGAAGCCCTCCAGCTGGGCTGGGCGGTCCCCAGTGTCTGGCTTCATGTGTTTGGGAGAAGTGCCAAGATCTACTGTTCCGCATCCTCCACGGCTTCCAGCCTCAGGGGACCGGTCGGTGAGCTGGTGGGAGAGAAAGGAAAGCTTGGTTCCTTCTCCCCTGGCATCGCAGCCCACCACCGCCCTCCCCTTGTCTCTCTCTCCCTTTTTTTTTTAAAAATATATTTTATTGATTTTTTACAGAGAGGAAGGAAGTGAGATAGAGAGCTAGAAACATCGATGAGAGAGAAACATCAATCAGCTGCCTCCTGCACATCTCCTACTGGGATGTGCCCGCAACCCAGGTACATGCCCTTGACCGGAATCGAACTCGGGACCGTTCAGTCCGCAGGCCGACTCTCTATCCACTGAGCCAAACCAGTTTCTGCTCTCTCTTCCCTTTTTTAAAAAAATAGATTTTTATTTATTTCAAAGAGGAAGGGAGAGGGAGAGAGAGATAGAAACATCAATGATGAGAGAGAATCATTGATTGGCTGCCTCCTGCACGCCCCACACTGGGGATCAACCCCGCAACCCAGGCACGTGCCCTTGACCGGGAATCGAACCTGGGACCTTTCAGTCTGCAGGCCGACAGTCTATCCACTGAGCCAAGCCAGCGAGGGCTCTCCTTGTCTCTTTATCTTCTAGGCAGGGACCTCCTCTAACACCTTCTGTAACCCTCCTTGGCAGTCTGTCTCAGGATGCTAATGCCCAGTCACAGCCAGGAGAGGCAGTGCCAACCGGCCTGGGCGCACAGCACAGGGCCCATATACAGTGGGGCCTTGACTAATGAGTTTAATTCGTTCCGTGACGGAGCTCGTAACTCAAATTACTCGTATGTCAAATCAAAAAGTGAATGAGTGAGACACGTGATGCTGGGCTGATGTTGTGGCATTCACTGAGACGTTCGCTGTGCCAACTGTCGGTGGGGTATCTGAAGTTGGCTCGTAACCCGAATTTTAGCTCGCAACTCAAAGCAAAAAATCGGCCAAGAGACGGCTCGTATCTCGAAAACCTCGTTAGTCGGGACACTCGTAAGTCAAGGCTCCCCTTTCCTC